AGCTTATATCACAAGCTATTCATATGTGCGACAGATGGCTAACTTGTTGGCCAAGTTTCTAACCTATCAATCAACTATAAATATGTATAAAATCAAATATGTGTCTATGAAGCTTTGCTATAAGATAATATCAAATCTACCTATATTTACTATCTATCTAGTACTTCTTTTTATGTAAAGATGTATGTCTGTGACATAATTACAACTTTTCTTCTAAAAGTATAATTTTTTTAAATAAAAAAATGATAAGTAAGAATAATATTTTATTATTTATAATAAAGATATTACTATTATATATAAGAATATTACTATTAAATTTACTCAAACATGAATAGATAGATATAAAACATACACAAAATTCCATGATCTTAAGTTGTTGAGTTGATTTTTAATTCTATTTTTTAAATATATAGTTTTTAGATAAAAAAAATTAAAAATCTTTTTTAGGTTTTAGCTAACAAAATTTAAGATCTTGACATATAAAATTAATATAATAAGACAAGTGAGATGTGTCTAAATATTTAAAAACAATATAAATACATAAATAAATAAAACCATCAAACATGAATATTGTGAAAGTTGTAAAATATTATAAAAAACACTTTGGAAGAGAATAAAGTGCAATAAACATCTAGAATTGGAAAGTAGATGGTACCGTGCAATTCCATAAAATTATTTAAAACATCGAAAGGCAAACCACCACAAAAGCCCTGAATATACACACACACAAGGACTTACACTACCCGCCACCGCTCTCTCTCCCTCTCTCATTAGATCCGGCCGGCACCCCGTCTGCATGATCACTACCTCATTGGATTGACCAACAACAACTATTCCATTTTCATTTCGGTGAGGCCGACGTAACACGTGGGATGCTCGATGTGCGCTGCGGAGCATGATAAATCCTGTATTGTTTCCGCAGCACATGACACCAATCTCTCCCCGGAGGCCTTCACTCATCTCTTCTCTGTTATTGTGTATCTGTCTGGTGTTACCTAGTTTTCTGCCGGCTGCCATTGCATTGTCGACGTTGAAATCATCGATTGTGGCTGTGGGGGTAGACTGGGAACGGGGGTGCTTCAATCCGACATACTCGACCCTGGGATTTTGTACAGTCCATGGAACCAAGCCACACAGTCGCAGCGTTCAGCAGATAGCATTCTGCACCCTGGTGGCGAAGTTCCTGAGCTGATCAGAAAATCTACTTTTTTCTCGCCGTTCCAGGAGTTCGGTTTAACCGTTAAAGCACCTTCTGCGGCGGAAGTTTACCAGGTCGCGGTTGGATCGAAGTGCAATGGCACCTATCGTGACTGAGTTCGTGAACAAAAACCCAGCAGGTGTTGCATTGTTGGCATTGTTTCCTATACAAGATCCTAATGCAACGTATTGAATCGTATTTACAAGCTCAGCAACTTGCACCTGTTCTCGTGTTTTGAAAGAACTTTATACGGTATTAGCCATAGAGTGTAGGGTGTAGGGTGCATAGGTATGAAAAATTCGAGATCAAGAAGAGGAACACGTTTCGGCTTCGAAGAGATGCGTAGTCCGCATCGATTGAGCTGAGAGGCATATACTACCTTCCTCGTCGAATTATAGGAAGACCAATGGATCCCTGATCGGTTCATTACAGCAACGATGGAGTCTTGAGAATTGACATATTTGCAACAATGAAATAATATGTTACGATTTCAAGTCATAATTATTGCTCTAGAATCTGAACACCCCTTGGCAGACTATGTTGAATGACCTATATTCTATATACGGAAAGCTGTGACTTATCCAACTCTTAAATAAGACACGAAAAGTGCTCTCCCCTTGGCTTATCAAGGTCTTAACAAAACCAAGGCCATGTCAATTCACAAGGCCTTAAAAGTGCCTTCATTAAAAAAAAAAAACATATATATATACATATATACTTAAGAAATTTTAATGGATATAATTTATAAATTTGTCTAATTTTCTATATGAATAATTTATCTAAAAAATTAATAATTGAAACTTCAAAAATGATAACTATGTGTTTTAAATTTTTTATAAAATAAGTAAAAAATTTTAAATTATTCTTTCTTAAGAATTAGTTCATAATTTTACTTAAATAAAATGTGTATATATATATATATATATATATATATATAGTAAAACATATTAACTACTAGAGATTAAAAAAGCTTTTATGTAATTAGTTATACTAGGAAAAATACATATTTTAAAATCATTACAAAGATCATCTAACCACTTGATAATAAAAGAAATTGGTAAATAATATGGACTATAAAATATTTAATTCTATAGCATTAGAATTAAAAAATTGTTTTATAAATATGAAATTAAAATTTTACATGCCATTAAAATATAATATTTTTAAAAAATATATGGATAAATATATATAATTTTTTATTAATATTAAAACTACATCTATTATTAATAATTCAATAGTTAAATTTTGTTTTTAATTCCTTGGACTGATTTTAATTATTCAGTTGCTTGTTGTCAAAAGGTGACTAGGATTTTTAGCAATAAGGACAAATGTGCTCAAAATAAGTATGGTAAAAATAGATTTCTAAGAATTTGAATAGTAGTGCATTGGATTTCTAAGAATTTGAATATATTAGCTAAAATAACCACAAAATTGATTTATAACTTGACTTTAAAATTAGACATATTAACATTATATTTATTTAAAAAACAAAAGAAAAAAAAAATGAAAGTTAGAATGTTTATATGAAAGTATTAATTAAATATATTTACAATAAATAAAAACTATTTCTTTGTATGAAAATTACTATAAATATATGATGCAATTCAATTCTTGTTATTTGTTGTAAAGAAATAGTTTGTATTTATTGCAAATATATCATTTTTAAAAAAAATTATAACATATTTAATTCTTTTTATTTATTGCAAATAAATGGTCCCAACAAAAAAATAATATGTTTTAATTTTTTAAATTAATTTTTTTCGAATTCTTCTAATAGATTTCATGTATAATAAATAAATCATTAAAAAATTATAAAATTTTATTATGTTTATAATAAAAGATATTGCAAAAATAGATATGACTTGTAAAGATTAAAACAATATATTGTATATACTATAATAATTATACTTGTATTTCTTATGTTGATAATGTGGTTTGATTTATTTTAAATTTTTGTCTCAATATGAAATCTTATTTGTTTACAACAATTTGCATCATAGGTTATACAGCATATATATATATATCTATTAATATTTATTGCTAATTGTTGTAGCATGCTTTTTTACATGTATGATTATCCAAGTTACAAGTTATGCTAACTTCTTATTATTGTTAGAAGAAAGTAAAATATAACACACATCTCACTTTGTATAAATTTATCTTTACAATAAGTGTGTGTTTACCAGACTATCAAAGCTTAGGTACATAGCCTTGCTATTTTGGATGTTACAATACTCTCATTTCCTTGGACTGCAAACCAAAGTGTAAGTTATATATTTTGTAAACATAAATAATACTATTGCACTTTATGTTATGCATAAAAAGAAATGTATCAATTGAGACTTTTCACAATTAATTTTGTGATGTAAAAATAAAATAAGACTAATAATTACAAACAACACTACATCCAAATTTTAGAAGCTGATGATATGTATTAAGCAAGTTTTAATGGGAGAATAGGCAAACTTATTTTATTTTTGAGCTTCAATTTTTTTTCTTTTTGGCTGTTACAATAGACAAATGATCTTGTAATAGATTATGTTTATTACATTAGATGTAATACAATTATTTTAAAAATGTGGTAGTAGAATAGTTAACATTATGTTGTCAATGAACACCAATCATGATATTAAATATTCTTAGATTTTAGATGGTGTCTGACAATCAAATTTGTTATATCTGTTTGAATTGTTGCCTCAAAGTTTCTTTCTTTACATCTTTTTTTTCATTCAATACTTAATCAAATACAGTTCAATAAAGTTGGATAATTGATCAAAAATTAGAAATTTATATTATCAATTTTATCTTAGAGCATATTTTCTAAAAGGGATATTTGACTTTAATCTAGCTAATTCCATTGCTATCACTTAAATAAAAATCATTCATGTGTTATTAAAAATAACATAATAGATAGTTATATTAAAAATAGTTAATTCCTTAAAATACAAATAAAAATAGTCTTAGTCATATTTTTTATACAAACAACTAATTAATAAACTAAAGCTTCAACCAAGAATTGTACTATTACTACTCATAAATTTGGAGTTTGAGCAAGTCTTTAAAAATATCCAATAGATTTAAAAAAAGAGAAAGAAAAAAAAGGACAATTATTCTTTTCTTATATACAAAATATAATAATCTAACCAATTCTGAGTGAACTGTTCATGATGAAATCCTGAAGTAAAAGTTCACGAATCTCAAAACAACAAACAATCAAAAAATTTAAAAAGAAGAGAAAAGAAAAAAAAGGAGTAATGAACAGAGTGATACTAAAAAAGGCTCCATTTCAGGGTTTTGTTTTAAATGGCTTCAACATAATGGTCGTGAATGGAAAAAAAAGGTTAGAGACATTCGGAGCCACAAGTTCACACAGACACACGTTCACACCTCGGATGATGATAGCTCAAATATCATCATCCACAGAGCTCCACTTTCCACGTCACCAATACAACCCATCATTTCCAACCCCCCAGAACTGCCACATGGCTGGGCCCAGCTGGCACATTCCAGCCTGCCACGCGGCGCTTTGCCGAAGCCAACTCGTTACTCCCCCACCCACCAATGGGATCGCACTGCCAGTCCTCGACATCGGGGACCGGGTCCCGGAACGGACGGCCGGTATCATCCAGTCCAAATCGGGGGTCGGGTCGGAACTAGCGCGGGTGAGTGGGGATCAGAGCATATACCCGGCGATGTGCCCCACCGCCACAAGCTGCACAAGCGGCTCAAAAATGACCTCAGGAGCGACCACTGGACGGTAGAACACACTGTGGGTGTGAAGCGGTCGGAAGCCGGTCAAGGCAGGCTGCGGAAAGAGTCTACACCACGTCGCAGATTGTGTCTCGTCTGATTGATCGTCTGTGGGGGTTGTTGTCGTGATCGCAACGCAACTAAGGTTGGAATGACGCAGAAATATTGTCTGTGTCGCTATTTTTGGAGTGTTATGTATTAATTTGTAGGTAGAGTGTGGCGCATTGCGTGCACATTTTGGGGTCTGTTTTTGCGTGGAGTGTGGGTTGAAGTTGTTGTGCGTGTTGGGTTCCGTCAGTTGTGGGCAATGTTGTTGCGACGATTTTGAACTTTTTGGAGGTTTTCTAAGGGTTGTGTCGTGTTTCTGGGGTTCATTAGCATTGTGATTACACTACAATCTGTTGTTATGTGTTGGGATTAGCTTTTGTGCGGGGGAGGGAGGAGATTTTTTGAAGTGTGGTTCTCTGTTTTGGAGGGATATAGCTGTGATTTTGCGTGCATGTTGTTGTTTTGAGGTGCAGAAGATAGCGTTCTACATACTTTTTTGTTTCTTTTTTTGTTTTTTGTGTCTTGGGTGTTGAGTGCGAAAACTGCTTAGTCTGGCAGTGCCGGTTTTCTCACAGGCAGTTAGAATCCCAATTCTTCCTCAGGTCTGCAGTATTGGTGAGCGTTTGAGTGGGTTGGGTCGTTCGAACCTAGCAGATTTTGAGGGTGGATTGGTCTGTTAATTCTGTCTATGGAAATTGAACGCGCGGGGATTTTACGGTTTCGCGTGTTGACGAAGCCTCGAGGAGCGGTTTACGGTCTCGAGCATTGTTGCGTTTGCTAACGCTCGTTGCAGCGTAGTGACTGTCCAACGTAAGCAGACAGCGCTTTGATCATTTTTGGCAGATTGAAGTTGAGACACAATGGGCAGAAGTAAGATCCTCAACCTTTTTCTTTCTTCCAAGGCTCTGCGTAGGGGACCTTTGGAAATGTATTGATTGGTGCATCACTATATTACTCATTTACGTATAAATAAGTCATTCATTTTTCATCATCTTTTGCCTCTCTCGAGCATTAAGGTTTACCAATACTGGCTTGCGTAGAGCAGAAGCTTTTACTCAGGTTTAAACTGGAGTTCTTCATTGAAAACCATGATCTTTACTTGTGGTCTTACAACCATTCTGGTTTACTGATCACCTAATTAGCTAAAATGCGGCCATACGAATTTTCCATCGCTATTTGAGAATCCTTGCTTTGAGAAGGCAAGCGTCACTTATGTTTGTGTGAGAAGGTTTGAGATAATTCATGAGTGATAATACTCGCACTTGTGCAGTTTCATATGCTTGCACACCATAGTTTTTATCTCTGCGAATGAAGTTCATTTCTGAGTAACAAAAAGTTAAATGTGGAAGCATTTTTAAATATATACCTCTGGAATTCCCTCTGATTTGGGTGTTTTGAGACTGAGTTGAATGTTTGTGCATTTGATTTGTGCCTTTTAGTTTGCACCCTTTCATAAACGTCGATTCAGGTTTTGTGTTCTCAAATATTTATTTAGCGTTCTTCGACTTTGTGGTTTAGGTCGAAAGGACCGTAAATCTGCACGAGACGAATACACTGACGATGATACGATGAGTACCACATCGACTGTCTCTTCTTCGGACTTCAACAATGGACCAGAAGTTGAGGGAGAGTTCGATGAAAGCACTTTGATGGACCAATATGTGGAAGCTCTTTATCAGAAGAGGTAATGATGTTATCTATGATTGACTTCCACTCTGCTTGTCGAGGATATATACTATGATTATGGACTTGGGAGGGCTAGGGATATAAGTAAGGGTAGTTTGAAAGAAATCAGAAGGTTATCTGCATTTCTCTGCTTTTAGAATTGTCTGTCTTTGAGAGTTGCTACAGGAAAGTGTAATTGCCAACGAGAAGAGTTTAGAAATGAACGATGCAATAGTTGTTGTATGTTTGCAGCACAAATCAGAAAATTCAGAAATTATAGACTCTTGTTCTATAATCAGTATTGAACTCAGTCCTTGCGTATTAAATTAGTTAGAAAGTTTTAAAAAAAGACTTGTCAGGGTTTGTAATTTTAATCACGTTGACAGTACGTTGTTAGAAACTTTTCATGTATATGAATTTCGTTTGTTTTTCTTAATTATTATTATTATTATCATTTTTTTCATAATATACAGGGCATCAATCCGGGAGGCTGGACTCAAAGGCCTGATAGATGCTTTCACGAGCACGGATTTGACAGATTTTGCAGAGGGCCAGTAAGTTTCGTATCACACTAACTGAGTGTTTTCCGTATAAAGTGGAATAGACGAAAATGGGCATGTTACAATCAAGTAATTAATATTGATTATTCATCATGGAAAGTGAAGCTTCTCCACCTGTCCATAAGACGTGGATTAATCTGAGCTTATTGAAGTGAGCAATGTTTGCCTCAATCTTATCAAGTGTTTCGTCTGAATGTAGATGTGAAACTCTTTCAAGTAGGTTCATAAACTCCGTCAAGGTTGGAGCTGGGAACGAGGCTGCTCAAGGAGCTCGTGCACTTGGTGAGTTCATATTCAACCAAACCGTACATCTGTTGAGTTGTTTATGAATAATATCATACCACAGCGAGTCCTTTATTTGATGGAACGATTAGGTGCTTGTCATGAGCACACCAGGATTTTAAGTCTGCAGATCTATGTCTCATGATTTGGATCATTAAAAGTTGCTTCTGTTCAAATTTGTCTTTAAGTCGCTATTGTCCTAAAACGTAGGTACTAAATTCACTAACTTGCTATACAATCATAGGTCTACTGGCCTTTACAGTTGGAGATGGGAGCAATGCTCAACAGATTCTAGCAGATGCTACACCACATTTGTGGAAAGTGGCTAGAGTTGGGTCCTCCCCTGCTGCCCGCTCTGCTGTAAGTGCAACAATGCTGCCAATACTTTCATGTTATACTGTGTAGGTTTAGACGTGAATGAGATGTTAGCATCATGATAGTCACCAATCTTTCAATCATGTATAATTTTTGTTCATCTTCGTTTCTCTGTATAGATAGATTCTTCCTATTTTTTTAACGTTCCATGTTCTTATGGAGAATGCTATTATCTGGCTGAAGTCAATGGTGGGATATTTGTTACAAATTACTCCACATAGACTTTAATAGAATCAGGATGTGTGAATGGAGAATTGTATCAATGAATGTTTTTGGAAGGCCACTCATTTCACTTGTTTGGTGCAGTCTCTACAGGCGTTGGGACATCTTGCTTTTATTGGGGCGGTGGATCTCGAGGCAACAGAGGCCACTATGGAGCTTCTCTGGTCCCTCATCAATCACAGACGCAGTGTAGAAGATCAGGTACTTCACAGCATGCTTGAATAGACACTTACGCTATGAGTATGGTAGACTTCTGAACCGTGTGTTTTAGGAGTTACTATCTAATGGGCGTAGTCTTGTACGATGTACTAATGAATTTTGTTTTCATTCACGGGTTTGCAAACTCTTCCTTTTGTATTCGTGTGTGTCTAGACTATCAGTATTAAAGTGCGTCAATTTACTCTACGCAGAAAACTGGAATTAACTCCCCCCCAGCTTCGGTGAAGGTATCTGCATTAATGGCTTGGTCACTGCTGCTATCCACGGTGGACTCTCAAAAAGTTTCATCTCACCATCTTCAATCGTAAGTCTACTAAATTTGCCTTCGAAAGTTACTGATAGGCAACAACCTCATTGCTTAGCGGATGAGTTTTAGTAACAATATTTATCAATTTAAAAATTCTCTTCCTCCATGTGGGCACAGTTAAGGGGTGAGCCTGTCTTCCCGAACTATGAATACGCGTAACTCCTTAGTAATTTTGAAATGTTTAATGCAGCAATAGCATGCTGCTCTTTGACTGATCTTGAATATGAAGGTATGTCTAGTATTTCAGAGTCTTGGGGCTTGCTATTGACAGATTGTTCTTGGAATTGCAGGAGTCTTCCAGTTTTGTCCAGCTTATTAAATAGCGAAGATTTGGCTTTAAGGACTGCTGCTGGAGAATCAATTGCCTTGCTGTATGAGATGACAAATTCATCAGGCTTTGCAGGAGATGTTGAAGATTCAGTTGACGATATAGTCCCGCCAGTTTCCAGACCTTCCAACTCTAGCGTAAGTATATCTCTCTATGTCGTCACATCGTAGCAGGATTTGTATTTTGAATCTCACCGTCCCATGTCTTTTTCCACAGGTGCAGTTTTTGTTAAATTCTATTTATTTCATTTTGTGTAGTAATCAATGTCCACATTTGCATTTGTTGGAGGTTTTCTGAAATATTATTAGTCTGAAATTTCAGGTAGCATCGAGTGCACGGGCTACAGTACCAGAGGACGAAGTGATCGAACAGATGAAAGCTTTGTCTGTGCACGCTGGTGGTAAAGGGCAACCGAAGAAGGAAAGAGCTGCGTTGCGCAGTTCGTTTCGCGAACTTCTTGCTGCCATTGAGGTTAGTCGAGGCATCAGGAGTGGTTTGTGATGCGGGAAAGCAGCAGAATTTGATAAGAAAATATTGTTTAGAATCAGTTAGGGGGATGTTCAAGTACAAGCATGTGATAAAAGCTTGCTTGCTGTGGTTTTCTAACATTGGACCTTTTTGGTGCAGGATGGTGTGGCTCCTCAAGTCTCGGTGAAATTGCCAGCAGGAAATACTTTAAAGTTCAATTCCTGGACTGAGATTATACAGGTTTTTTTCATTTTCTTTTTACCTTTTCAGGAATCTGCGTCCTTGAATTTCTACTTGTCAATTGACTTCAATGTGAGTTGTACATTTTTAGTGTATTTTTATCGTTGATTGTGTGATATCTGTCCTATTGTGGATTTCTTTTTGTATTTCTCGAGCACGTCTAATAGCGTAATTTTAATAGATACTACGCTTTGCATCTGCAGGTAAACGCTATTCGGCGCTTTTTGGGTGAGGGCTTTCAGACACACATGCAAGTGAGTACATTTTTTTTTCCCCCTTATTGTGGACATAACTTACAAGAACGATACTAGAACGGTACACTTACAGTGGCAGAGCGGGAATTTTTGAGACGTTCGAGTACTATCGCTAAGATACTAATTATGAACTCGGTGTTTGAATGAGAATTTGATGGTTAAATGTTTTTACTGACGCTTCTATTTCTAATAGATTCTCCAAATTAACGCTCTGAGTTTTGATTACCGTGGCTGTTGTTGAATCAGGGAAATCCTTTGCTGCATGAAATCTTTGACTTTGTACCACAATCTGAAAAGCGCAATACTCTTTCTACAAAAGAAAAGGTCCGACAACTGCACAGCTTGAGATGTATCCTAGGGTGCTATGGTTCGTTTACAAGTTTGTCTACATTGCCGTATCCCTTCTGGAAGTAATGCTTCATCTGGATTTTGTTTGCAGAGGATGTTGCAATCGCCTAATTCTGTTGTTAGCAAGGCGCGCACTGAAGTGATGAACCGCCGGCGTCAAAACTCTCAGGTATGTTAATTTTTCTTTTGCTTTCGCTTTGACTGTTTTTGTCTTACAAATTTTAGAATTAGAACAGTTTAGTAGACAGCATGCCGAGAACTGCTTGTTTTCAAGTGAATGTCACTTGATCCAAACTTGTCACTTACATCTTGAATTGACTTTCCACAGGCACAGAAGATAGGGGATTTCAGTGCCAGTGGTTACAACAGCGACTAAAGCGCTGGTTCAGAAAAAAATAATAATAATAATAATGATGATGACAATTAAAAGAGGAAAAAAGAAAATCCATCGTTTTTAGTGTAGCTCATGCAACCAGATTTGTTGCATTCGTTTTAGGTTACTCACACAATTTGATCTCATCTTGCGTCAAAGAGATAGTGCAAATTGCAACCCTAGAGTTCACAGTCCTGTCCAGTTATTATTCCGAGTGTTTGTTCTAGCTGATTTTTTTTTCTTCTGATTTTTCCTTTGAGCTGGAAAAGCAGATAGATCTGTTTGTATATACTGCGGTAATTGTAAATGCATTTGAGTGTATTTTGAGTGCCTCATACATGTCTCTTTATATGTAGCTTCTCATGTATCTTTCAGTACCAGAGCAGTATTGTAGTGGGGACGAGCGTAAATGATTATCTCAGTAAAAACTAGAAACTTAAGAAAATTGTTTGGTCAGTTGCCAACATGCTCTGAAACTAGCTATTTTTCAAGGACCCATTTACTAAATTTGCCAAGAGCAATACATTTAGGGCATTATTTAGTGATACTGAACCAGAGGTTTGCATAATTAGAGCAGTAATGCTTGGTCTGATGACAGACCCTACTAGTGTAAATATATTAACAGTTAGCACACATATATAAGTCTAATAGACATGTTTAAACTATTTCATTAAGCTGTGTGTAAATTTGGCAAGTCAAAGTATTATATATTAAATAAAATAAAATAATGTATTTATGTATTAAACTAAAGAAATTAAATTAAATCTACCATTTAAAATTGGTGGAAGAATTTATAAATCATGTTTTTGGTCAAAATTTTCAATTTTATAAAAAGTGGGAGATATGGTTGGTATTGTTACTTTCAATTTATCAGTAATCTAAAAATTATTTAATCTCAATATGCTAAATCTTTAGAATTCTTTTAGATAGAAAGAATTACAATCACAATAATTACAAATAAGTGAAAAATAGAATATGTTAATCTAAATATACATTGGAATCATTGAATGGTTTTCTTTTATTTTAATGTTCAAAATGAAATCAATTTTCTTTTGAAGAAATATAAATTGAAATATTTTCAATGAAATATACATCTGAATTATTTAACACCTAGTTAAGATGATCAATTTATATATAAACTAGATGAACATGTGTCCTTATAATGGATAGTTTTTGTTGCGGTTGACAATACTTAAAAAAATCCAATAAGATTACATTGCTTAAGAATTTTGTTTATAAAATGATACCATATGCAATGTACTAGAGTTTGTTCCCTGTGAGCTCAAATACAATATTATCTAATTTTTCACCATTGATCACATTCTTCACCTACCCTACATCCTTTAAAACAAAGCTGTAACTATTTTTATTTTATTTTTTTTAAATGTTGAGATCTTCATGTAGAATTGTAATTATCTTCTAAAATCCAATATTACCAAAATTAAATAAAACGTGGTCTTTCAACACAAATCTCTTTGTCTCAATAGACCCTATTCAACTTTCCTTTAAAAATTGATTTTCCTTCAATTGTACTCCATTCAAGAAGTTGCAATTAAAAAAGTTCTTTCCTTCTATTTAGAACAATCATTACTTAACAATGGGATACATATTGCTATTTTGAGTGTTATTGTACATATTAGTAATTATACAAAAAAAAATTGTATAATTTTCTTTGAAATATTCTTTGATGTAATGCAATGCAAATGCACATAAATTTTTGAAATTTTTGAAATATCTAAAAATACTTTCATTCTATAATACAAAGCTTAATAATATGATTTAAAAAGAATGAAGACCATGGTTTTTGAAATCTTTTGAGTTTTGTCAAATTTTTCTCTTAATTCAAATTGTAAACTTACCTTTGTTTTAACTCTTCCTCATAAATTCTTTGATAGAAGCTCAAATACAATGGACAAATACTTGTAGTATAAAAAATAAAAACTTTCAGTAGATACCTATTGTAAGTGTAGAATGCAACTTTAAGAAAGCACAAAAAAATTGCAATTGTGCCTTTTTCTATGTTAGGGATTGAACTTTACCTTTAATTGCATTGTGTGCATGCAACAAATAATACATTGCTAAATCCATCTAGATTCAGTTAAACTCCAACATGATACATTTTGTTAATCATGTTTACTTAATCACGTTTATAATGGTCACATTATACTGTAGTCTTTGACCATTATAGCATGCTTTCTTTATGCCCAAGATTTCATTTATGAATTGATAATCTACAATTCCAAAATTCTTCCTTTTAAAAATGCAACACCTAATGGCAATATTCCACAACAAGAACCACTAGTACCAATACCCTAACCTCTAAATTCTTCACCATCTACACCTTGAGCCAAAATCTACAACATCAATTCCAACAAGTAATGCTCCAATTGACGTAATTGCACCAAAATTAAATTGTGTATAGAAATATAGACATCACTATCAAACAACGATTTGAAAGTATGAGACCTCAAGCATCCAAATCATAAGAGAGAAGAGAGAGGGAGGAAAAGAGATTTAGAATCTATTATCGAAGAAAGACTTAGGCCTTTGAATTAAGACCAAACAACTTGAAGAGTGCCAACTCACTAGGATGCATGTCTTTCTTGTTGCTCTAATTTAAAATACCTTGTGAACTATATAAACCTCTTATAATTGCCTTATGGACTTAGAACTTATGAAACATATGTTAGCATAGAAATTTACTAGTTATGATGGTTAAGCCTAAAACTTATGAACTTTGGCTTGATGCTTATATTTGGTTAGCTAATAATCAAGATAAGTACATGAAGATAATATGCAGGCACACAATGCTTTAAATACCTCTTTAACTTTGTACTTCCCATGTAAGTCAATTAATACAAAAAGTTACATAACATGATTCTTACTTTGCCTATATTAAAGAAGAACCATATACTTTAAGACTTGAAAGAGTTAGTAACTTATAAACTGTTTGATTTCTAATAAATACATGTGATTACATAAATCAAAAAAACATCACAAAAATCTAGGAGAAGAAAGAATCAAATGTGGGTACAGCTTACTATAAATGGTGCAATTCAGATTTCTACCATGGAAGCAAAAATGAATAAGATGGCATTCATTAGATGATACATGGTATCAAGGACAAAAACTCGATGAAAAAACAATCCAGATAAGTGAGCCTTCACTCAAAGAAAGGTAACAAAATATAAATAAATAAGTATGTATATTGAAAGAGAAACTAGAATGGCTATTGCCAAAAGACAAGAAAACTAGAGACCCTTGAAACTAGACTAGAAGCAAGAGAGGAGTTGACAAGAGTGAAGAAGGCTTCACTCTTGTCTCTATATATACTATCTAACTAGGGGCTACATGGCGACGTTCTATAGGACCTCCAATATGTGTTGACTTTGTAGGACACATGCCTTGACTTACAAGGCAAGTTTTTCTACATGTGGACCACATAGTTAGCTTGATCTTCAAGCTAACAACATGTGTGGCACATGGCCAACTTGTTGACCACGTTTCTAATCCAAAAAGTCAATTAAAGATACCTATAAAGTCAAAGCAGCATCTAGAAAGCTTTTAAAAAGCTTCCATATTAAATACTATAGAATTAACTTAATTTTATCTACTTTTACTTACTTCTACCTATTTGTATATGTAATTACTAGCTTACATGAGTATGTCTGTGACATTACCCCCTCTTCTAGGGACGAGTTCCACGAAGAGCAGTCATCATATGTTGACGAAATCTATGATGCAACGAATTGTATTCGCCACATACTCTGATCTTTGTTCTCTTCGAAGATGATTGATAGGGCCTCTCAACCATCGGTAGTGTTCCATACCAGGGCGGAAAGACCACCTAGTTATTTGATCATTGTTGAGGCCTTCATAACTTCCTTCGAATAGAACATTTGGAACACCATGAAGAGTTGTTCCTACCTCTAGCAAAATCACCAAACATCGGGAGTCCCTTCCCAAATCGTGATACCGAACGCGTTGTATCTTGCCATCTATTCGAGGAAAAAACATGTCATTCTTGAAGATCTTCATCTCGATTGCATCATCTTGAAGGTTGTGACAATCGCAATGTCTCATCTGATAGATCAACAAATGAAGGCTCTTGAGTCGAATTCACTGGTTGTTGATTCTCCATCTTTTGAATGTCACAATTACAAAGAAGCTATGAACAAGGATTGAAAGTAGAATGTTATCTTGCCTAGATGTTGTTTCTTTTATAAAGAAGGTTTTTATCTTGATTTTGATAGATGTCGTCGATGAAAAGCCTCCACCGCCTTTGCTGCATTTGCAAGATTCTTTATTGGCTCCCATGTGCGTTCTCTAATACCATATCCGTACCAATGAACAAGATATTCCAATTTATTTTGGCGCCGCCTTGAATCTAAGACTTCTTCTACTTCAAATTCTTCATTATTGTCCACTTCTATAGGAGGAGGTGGAGCTTGTCATCTTCTTGGTATGTCCACTGTCTTGTATGGTTCAAGAAGAGACACGTGGAATACTGGATGGATTTTCATTGACTCCGGTAGATGTAAACGATATACAACTAGATTAATTTGTGCAGAAATAGAAAATGGTCCCAACCTTTGATAGTCCAACTTGTTACAAGGACAAGTGGTCTTGATATTATGATGAAGTAGTAATACCTTATCACCCAAGAGGAATGGTGGTTGTTCCTTTCGATAGACATCCACATTGACCTTTTGTTGTTCTTGAGCCTCTTTTAACTGCGCCTTCATCGTTGCATGCAGCTCTGATAAATGAATTGCCAAATCTTTCGCAGCAGGATTATCAACTTTTGAAAAGTCAAAAGTATCAAGTCGTGGATGATAACCATAATTAGCAAAGAAAGATGTTTGTTTTTTAGAAGAATGTACCGTGTTATTGTAAGCAAACTTTGCCAATGGCAAAAGAGTTGTCCAATCATCTTGTTGGTAGTTAATGGTACATCTTAAATATTGCTCCAAAACTTGATTAACACGCTCCATTTGTTCATCAGTTTGAGGATGGAATGTCGAAGATAGTTTTATATCCACTTTTAGAATCTTGAAAAGAGTCCGCCAAAAACTTGATACAAATTGAGTTTCCCTATCTGATATAATATCTTTAGTTAATCCATGATAGCGATAGATATTGTAAAGAAAGAGCTTAGCTGTTTCTTCACATATGATAGATTTTATACATGGTATAAAATGTGCCATCTTGGTAAAACGATCTACTATCAAGAATATAGAATCACAAGAACCTCAGATTGGAAGATCCATGATGAAGTCCATAGAAACAGAACACCATGGTTGTTCTGAAATGGATAATGGCTGAAGAAGTCCAA